TTTTTACTCCAGAGGAGGGTCTGGGGGAGGGGGGCTGGGGGATCCTGGAGTAATCGGGGTTAAAACTCACTCCATTGAGTTTCAAACCCATATGTGCCTAGCGGGTTTCAAACTCGAGACCTCCCACTAGGCACAGTAAGCTCACAACCAACTGGGCTAGAATGCTTGGTTATTGGGAAAAATATATTTAAAAAACACTTTAACAATATGGATTTCGAAAAAAAATTGAAAATCACTTTAACAATATTTGAAAAAAATATTTGAAAATCACTTTAACAAGTTGGAAAAAAATATTTAACAATGTGATCATAATTTTATCACTTTAATTTACATAAAAAAGAAATCTGGATTTGAAAATCTTCAGCTGATAAAATTTACTGCCTCCGTTTCTGAAACAAGTTCCATATTTGACTTCACACATATAAGAAAATAAATTTGACTTTACTGTGGAGTGCACAGTTTGACACTGTTTGAACACTGTTTGGCATCTTTTAAACACTGTTTGACACTGTTTTGATGTGGATAATTTGACAAACAAGGAAATGTTTGAAAGTGAAACTTAATTTTGAATCTGCCCGAAAAGGAAAGATGGAACTTATTTTCGAATCGGAGGGAGTATATTTTTTAAACTTTATATATACATTATTGATGTTATATGAAAGAGAATAAAAACCCATAAATTTTGATATATTATTTATAAAGATAAATAAATAAATAAGTCATAATGGTCTGAAAAAAATTGGAAATTTTATTTCACGTGGGCTCCTACCTCTCTCCCTCTGTTTCGGAGGTTTGCTAATATTGACCGGCCAGAAAATAAGGAGAAACAAAAAAAAAACTTTGACCGGACTAAATTACCCTCAACTTGGAGGAAATCATTTAAAAGAAAAGTGCACTGTATAAACTTTAATAAAGCATTTGACTAGATTCGAGACAGATGTTTACAGCGGTGGACTTTAAGAGACCACAATTGTTGAGGGATTATGGAGATGAAGTGGTCTATGGACTCCATAATTTTGAGGTAGATTTGAAATGAGAAGAAATGAATGATTTACTCAAAGGCCGACAAAACTAAAAGCGGGGATGGGAGATGCAGAAATTATATCATGAGATCGGCCCACCATGCGCATGGTGTGCCGATCCCCATACGGTGTCGTTTACAGTAAAAAAAGAGCGGAACTTTGTTTTTTATTTCTCACTCCGTTCCACTTCCTGCTGATCTACGAACTCTTCCTCCATCCGTTCAAGCTTCAGAAACCTTGAAGCTCCACTCAAGCCTTAGCACACAAATAAACATTGAAATTATGTGGTCCAATTTTCACCTAAAAGTGACCACATAAAGGGAAAGTTAGTCTTTAATCGGAAAGCAGAGTAACCACATAAAGGGAAAGTTAGTATGCAATTGGAAAGCAGAGTAACCGTGGGAAGCCAGGCAGCTTCTAGCCCCTTCCGTTTCCGCTGCTTCCAGGGGCGGACCCAGGAAAGTCACTTTGGGGGGCGAAAATATTTTTGGGGGGGTTCAAAATACTTTTTGAAAGAGCAAAAATTATTTTTCGTATATATATACACTAAAAAAAAATTTGTTAGGGGGGTGATAGCCCCCCTGGGTCTCTACTACGGTCCGCCCCTGGCTGCTTTCGATCTTCCTGTTCAGGCGACGCTGTAGGCTAATTTTTTTTATCCTTCTTGTCTTCATTTTTACAATCTCCGGGGAGTTGCCAGTTCAAACCGCTAGGAGTTCTCAGACCCAATTTCCACTTTTGAGAAAGATACGGATTACAGGGTGATGATGAGTTTGTGAAATAGATGATCGAATCTGTTTTGGAGTGGATCAATAGAAGATCGCAAATGCCCCTTCTAAATTTCAAGCTCGGTTATTTTATATCAAACTACATACTTCGTATAATTAAGGTTAAAATATACTCTGTGTAATCTTATATCCTCAGTTACATTTGATAATACACCGAGTTACATCTTTTTATAAGCGAGTTACATAGTTTAATACGTGAGTTACATTTGTAATAACATGAGTTACACCAAAAAATTAACCCCTACTATTAAAACATTTTTTTAAAAAAAATCATTTTTATGGTCATGATATAAAAAACAAAACATATTCACCATTTGCATAAATAATTGAGCAATTAGACTCTTTTTATTCATTGTTTACATTGAAATCAATGTTTTATTTCTTATGCTTCATATTGGACAAGTTACATTTTGATTGACCTGCGATTACATTTCTCATCAACGTGAGTTACATTTCTTTACACGCGAGTTAAATTATTCATGCTACCGGGACAAAAAGAAAAAAAAATTACTGTACATGCGTGTACTGTTCACACGTTTTTTTAAATTGTGCAAAACTACGTCGTTTTGGGGGGTGGATCATAGTGCTCACCGTGGGATGATCCACGGTATATGAACTGTGGGAGATGTCATTTACTGCGTTTGGCTGTAATGAGTTACAAGGGCAAAAAGACTTTTCAATTTCAACATTTAGCTGAACATGGAAAGTTACAAATCATTTTGGAACGGTCCAAAAAGAAATCATGGTGAAGCTTTCCGGAACAGAGGGAGTACTTAATTGCAACACATTTGGGGTGAAAACCTCAAATTTGGAGTTTTTACGCACCCATTGTAGACAACCTTATATAGCAAATTGTAAACATACTCCGTATCAATAAATGTTGAGTCTCACTTTGTGTACACGCTGTGTTACACGTCACGTTACACGCGGCTCAAATTGTTTGTGTACAGACATTTGACCGGTGTTTTATTAAGAAAATCGATTTCCACACTGATAAAAATAAAAAGTTATTCGTATCACAGACATTTTAGACGAGAATTTTTCATAAAATATCTGTGATACATACAATTTTAAACGAGAATTTTAAACGAAAACTTTAAAATATTTGTGATGTAGACAAATTTTTTGTTTTTATCCATGTGAAAATCAATTTACTATCTGTGTGAAAATGATCTATACATAGACACTTTATCAGGCGTGTAATCCCGCACGTAAAGAGTGATGTCTACAAAGAGAATTCTCCATAAATGTTTGCATGTGTGAGTGAGAGTAGTCAATCCCATCACAGTTGGTTCAATGAAGTATTTGGGCATTGTATAAGTTTTGTTGGTACTATGTCAGTGCATTGTTAATTGATGAATAGTGACCGAACTGGAAGATTAGATGGGTGAACGATTGAACACTTCTTGCACCTGATACGGGCAGGCGTTTTTTACATAAGTCGACCGATTTTTCAATCCATATCTTTTGGTTACAAAGATTTTATCCGAAAATGTTTCTCAAATTAACTTTTCTTAGTCAATGATAATCAATTTTAATAAATGATATTTTTTGATGTTAATAAATGATAATCAATTTTAATCAATTTTAATAAATGATAAACTAGTTTGAATATGAAAATTATATCAAAATGTTCTTTATTTAAAATATTTTTGTAAAAGTATAAAACTTATAAATTATATACTCCATCCGTCCCTGAAAATACTTCCAACTTTCCCTTTTCGTTCATCCCAAAAAGAACTTCTATTTCCTTTTTTGACAAAGAATTTGTGGTTCACAGCATTTCTCTCTCCTCTGCACAACTCTCCACCACACAATTCTCACTTTCTTAATCCGCGTGCCACTTTATTTTGGAAGTAAATTATGGGACGGAGGTAGTACATAAATATAATAATTAAAATCATTGTTCAAAATTTTTCATCATTAATCAAGCATTCCAGCCCAGCTGATTGTGAGGTTATCGTGTCTAGTAAGAGACATCGAGTTCGAAACCCGCTAGGCACACAAGTGTTTAAAACTCAATGCAGTGAATTTCAGCCCTGATTACTCTAGGCCCCCAGCCCCCCTCCCCCCAGACCCCCTGAAGTAAAAAAAAATCCCAAAAAAAAATTGCCACTATTAACTATCCCCCGTTAGGTTATTATTTTTCTTCCAAAAATACCCATGCTTCACAATCTCCATTCTTATTTGGTACTTGGAGCTTTAGGAATGCAAATTGGGTGTATACTAAATTACTCCATTTTCCTTGGTTTGTGTTCCAAAATTTGTGTGTGGCTTGATCCTTGGAAAATTTCATCTTTGTGAAGCTTATGGTCGGTTTACCTCATCTTTTTGGTTATTTCTTATTCTTAATTAATCAAACCAAACCACTCACAAACAATTAGAAATAAGGCATCTTTTTTGTTATTACTTATTCTTATTACATTAGCATTGTTTTGATTGATCAACAGAAGTCATTATTTGTGCAATTAAACATATTCTGCTGAAAATTATTTACTAATGTTCACTAATCTTAGTCATTTGTGCAATTAAACATACTTTTCTTAAAATTAATTCAATTAGTTTTGATTTTAATTATTATTAAGATGTTTTATTGTTCTATAATTTTAGTTACTTTAATTATAGGTTGTAATAAGTTTAATGTGTTAAGAGACAAAAATTTAAAGGGCATTTGAGTAATTTACTAAATATGCAATATAAGATATCATTCAACCAAACAACTTAATGTCACATTTCCTTGATCGTAACCAAACACAAAAGGGTTACACATTAATCACATTCTCATCTATCTAACATACCCGATAATCCAACATTTCCATGTTAATATGACATTCCTTAAACCAAACCCACACTGATAGAGTGGGTGGAAGCCGTGGAACCCGCACGGGTAGCTCAGTTGGTTCAGTGGTGAGAAATTTGGATCAAGTGACCAAGGTTCGAAACCTGCAGCGGTCGTGTGGAGGTCACAGAACCTGAAATAAGGCTGGGCCTCTGGTGCGCACGAGAAAAAAGCCTATCATCATTGGGCCGACTGAGTCAACGTGATTAACATCCTCCCAAAAATCCTGTCGGGTCGGGGTATGGAGAGCTCCTGGGGTGGGAGATTCCACCTTTTGGATCAAGGTGGAAGCCGTGGAACTATATATTTATGCTCAAAGGCCACGTGCAGCTACTCTACTACTACTACACTGTTTGAATCATTGGGCCTTGAAATAAAAAAAGGAATAGCTAGATGGGGGGTGTAAAGGAAGAAGAAAAGGAAGGTCTTGATCATAGCTATTATCCACTGTATGAGACAAAAGGCAGGAGATGGAATAGTGCATACAAGCTGTTTTCTGTAACTGTGTTCTTGGCTATCTGCTGCATATGGGTTTTCAGGGTGACAAACATCCCAAGAACAGAGGAAGGCGGTGCAGGAAGATGGGTTTGGATTGGGATGTTCGTTTCCGAGCTTCTTTTGGGTGTTTATTGGATCTTTACTCAGTCTGTTCGTTGGAGTGTTGTTTACAACTATCCCTTCAAAGAAAGGCTCTCTCTCAGGTAACCTCCCCTCTAATTCCTAGAACAGACTAGAGTGTTTGGAAAAGATTACATTTCCATTTAAAAGTAAAGAATATATGGTTAAAATTAATTCTCTCTCCTCTGCATAAATTTCAATCACACAGTTTTTACTTTATTAATACACGTGAAAATAAACTTTGGTCAACTTTTTCGGGACAGAGGGAGTATTTAAAATGTGTTTTTCAACTTTTGACTTAAAAAATTGAAACACGTGTTTTCAAGCTATAATTGGAGGCTGATTGAGAGATGCTTAAAGTGTTTTTCACTTTTTCTATCACACAAAAATCACTTTTTTATCGAACACTATCGATTTTTACTTTTCCAAAAATGTTTTTTTTTTCTAAAAAATTATTACTCTGCCCTCTAACTTTGTCGTGTTTTACCTTTTTCGCCCGTCCCATACCATATTTGTTAATATTTAAGTGGTTAGAATTCACTTTTATTTTATTCACACTTTATCAATTCAATATCAACCACATAATTCTACATTTTCTTAAAAACTACACCACATCCCTTTGCCCCATCCCTTTGCCCCAAACTTAGGGGGACGGAGGTAGTAACTTTTACCATTAAACTTTTTCTCTAAAATCAATTGAAAAAATCATTTTTTAAAGTAAAAGCAATTACAAACAATCATTTAGTAGCTCATAAATTGGTTAAAAAAAGAGGGTTGTTTATGATATTGGTAAAGAAAAGACCACTTGAGACATATTAGTAAAAAAAAGCTCTAGTGACAATTTGGTCAATTTTTTGAGTGAGACATTTTGGTCCTTGAATTTAGAACTCCAACATTTCATATTGTAAGTATTGTGAAATTAGCAAAAGTGAAAGACTAAAAATGTCAACGATCGTAATTGATAATAACAATAGTTGTCTGCTAACTAATAACCAATTGAATCAGCAAATTGATACTAGCGAATTCAGTAAACTACTAACATTTTAGATTTTTTATACAATAAATCTTGTGTGCTGATCTGGAGTTTTGGTACATACGAGTACAATGTCTATCATCATTGAGAGGTCAAGTTGTGAGTACAAGGTCTACCATCATCCATGATTCAACCTTTTTTGGAACAAAATTATAGTTTCATTGTACACTTTTTTTCTTTTTTTTTTGAGGATTTTTAAAGTTTGAAACAATCAAATATGTTGCAGGTATGAGGAAAACTTGCCGGGAGTGGATGTTTTCATATGTACGGCAGATGCCATATTGGAGCCACCAACCCTTGTGATTAATACTGTGTTATCAGTGATGTCATACAACTATCCACCGGAGAAGTTGAGTGTTTATCTTTCAGATGATGGAGGTTCAGAGTTAGTCTACTACGCTCTTTGGGAAGCATCAAGATTCTCCAAATATTGGATACCCTTCTGTAAGAAGTTTAAGGTGGAGCCAAGATCCCCTCATGTCTATTTTGCTCAACATGTTCTCGAACAAGACAAAGTGTTCTCAGAAGAGTGGTCTGACACTAAGGTTAGTGATTAAGGTTTTTGTCTTTTAATTTGCTTCCATAGATTAAGCCAGCCCTCTGTTCAAGTCCTACAAAATAATGGGGTTTTAAGGTTTAATCAAAGTGCATTTCAGCCCAATTGAACGACTAAATCAATTCGGGCAATGAAATCCTGAATTCTATGACGTATAAGGCTAAACGAATATCAAGATTGAGTCACCACTTCGCTTGTCAATTCAATTCATTTCACAAGTGACTTTGTTTAGGTGGAACTGAAGCAATAACACAATGACAACATGTTCTTGATTAATAGGCTGAAAATGGAAGTTTTTTATGGCAATAAGACTGATATATGCTCATACATATATACAGTTGCCCAACAAAAATAACAATATCCAAGTCTTATTCACAAGAGTTTGGATCATCTAACATGAATTGACATATGGAATTGGAGATAAAAAGGATACAAAGAGATCAATCGTTCAATGACATACTCTCATCCAACCCAATAAGTGCCACATCATTCCTAACAACTATAACTCAAATGCATCACTCAATCGTCTATGCAAATGGCCAAACCACAACAATTGAGACTCTTGCATTTTATCTTCAATAAGCGATACTCCCTCCCACTCTTTACTTATATGTCCACACATTCAATGCAACATCCGTATCTCAGTCACACTCATCTTTCAAATGTGACATTGTTTTACCATCCAACGCTATGCGTCATGGGCCTAATTGTTGTCCGACAAAACTTACCTTTCAGTCTAATCGACATACCTCGACCACGTTTAACTCCTGACCCAATCTTCCATTTCATTAACCCTATTATGATCATACGGGATTAAACTGTCCAAATTACAAAATCAGATAATTATTTTTGAGGAGCTAGCGGGTAGGGCGTTTCCTCTCATTTTAATCCCTTGTCTTTATGTGTTTTGTTGTGACCTGTGTTGTACTTGTTTCAGATATTATATGACGATATGATAAGTAGAATTGAGGAAGCTATGGAAAGTGGTAGAGTTTGTGATGAAATAAAGCAGCAACACAAGGGGTTCTTTGAGTGGAACTCTAAAACCACAAAGCAAGACCACCAGTCAATTGTTAAGGTAACTAACCTGCAGCCTTATATTAAAAAATGTTATGGTGGGAAGGAATATTCACGAAATACAAAAATATATACTCACACATAGGACGTCGTGTAATTAGTCACGCTATCAGTTTGACCTGACCTTCTAAATGTGCAAAATTACATGATTTACAGATTTTACTTGATGGGCGGAATAGAAAAGAGGTGGATGTCTGTGGAAATCTATTACCAACCCTCGTCTACCTGTCACGTGAGAAGAAGCCCCACAAACCACATCACTTCAAGGCTGGATCAATGAATGCGTTGGTAAGTAAAGAAAGTTTTTTAATAACTAAGGTTACTAAAAATGTTGAAATATTCGTTCCACGCTGTTAAATACGAAGTATTAAATAACAAACTAATATTTAGATCGACTACTTGTCTTATTTGGTATACTTTTAGAATGCAACTTCAAGCCTTATTATGAATTATGATGAGTTTGTCCAATTATGGCATGTTGCTTTGTTTTCCATGTTTTGTTTAGCAGTTTAGCTAGACTATTTGGAGCTAGTTTGGCTCATTTACCCACCTGTAGTTATCTTGCGCTACTCCTCGTCCCCGCTTATTATAATCTTTAAGGTTAACATTTTAGGATAGTACTCAGGGTTTAATAAAAACCTTTCCTTAATTAAGAACTATATTTATGAGTCTTAAAATTTATAACACAAACAAAACTAACTTTGCAGGTAAGGGTTTCTGCAGAAATTAGTAATGCACCCATCATCCTCAACTTGGACTGTGACATGTATTCAAACAATGCAGATTCGATAAGAGAGGCATTGTGCTTTTTCATGGATAAAGAGCAAGGGAACAAAATAGCATATGTGCAATATCCTCAGCGCTTTGCTAATATTCCCAAAAATGATTTGTACGGAAATGGAGCGCGAGTGACCCGAGAAGTAAACATGCTCTTAGTCACACACAAACTGGTACGACCCTTTTTATGACATTGCAGAGAATAATATTTAACCCTTTTTGAATGCAGATTGAACTTGCTAGTATGGGTGGTGTTGGAGCTGCTTTATACTGCGGAACTGGATGCTTTCACAGAAGAGCAAGCCTTTGTGGAATGATATACCCTAAAGAGCTTCAAATTGATGGCTTGCTTGGTGGATTGAAAAATGAAACGTCCATTGAAGAGTTGGAGGAAGCATCTAAATATGTCATAAATTGCAGCTATGAAGAGGGTACTCAATGGGGAAAACAGGTTTGTTTCTTTCTCTTCTATTATGTCTTTCTCAAATAATCAATGTAATCTCAATCGCCGAATACATTAGAAATGCGCACTTGGTCCCATAATTCATTATTTTTGCCTATTTGTAAAGACTTTTGAACAAAAAGTTACATGCTGTGTGCTCGAGTTGGTTCTTATAGGTGAAGTTGTATAAACATGAACATTTTAGCTCACATTTTTTTTTTGCAATAATAAAAAAAACGAGCGAAAATAAATTCACAGAAAAGGACCAATATTCGAACATGTGGGAAAACAAATAAGTTTGATGTCACTATGAATAATTGGTATAGAATTCTTCATTTTGGGCAAAATAGTAGATTTTTACAATAACAGCACGTGATAAAATGTGGAGCTTCTCCTCCTATATTAAATATCTATATTTTGCAGATGGGGCTAGTGTATGGATGTCCAGTGGAAGATATAGTCACAGGTTTAACTATCCAATGCAGAGGATGGAAATCTGTCTATTATAATCCCCAAAAACGCGCTTCTTTTTTGGGTATTGCCCCAATTACATTGGAAGTTGCTCTTGTTCAACACAAGAGATGGGCTGAAGGCATGTTTCAGATTTTTATCTCCAAGTATTGCCCCTTCACATATGGCTATCGAAAAATAAAACTAGCTGCTCAGATGGGATATTGTCGTTACCTTCTTTGGGCCGTCATTTCCATCCCCGTACTCTATTATGTGATTGTCCCTCCTCTTTGTTTGCTTCACAGTATCTCCTTATTTCCAAAGGTATGCTCCCAAATAATGTGGACAAATCCTATTTCTTTTTTACTCAAAATGTGTGTTACATTTCAACATTTGTTTTAAGTTGAGTCGATGTCATGTTGAAGTAGTCGTTTCACACCGGTAAAAAAAACTACGTATGCACTAATAGGGACTATATAAGATTCTGGACTACCCAAGTCTTGATAACCAAGACTTAAGATGTGGTACTCTAAATGGACAAATGAGAATTATTGTTTGTTTGTTTTAGGTAACACGTCTTTGGTGTGTGCCTTTTGCGTATGTTTTTGCGGTGAGGAGCGGTTACAGTTTAGTGGAAGCTTTGAGTTCAGGTGAGACACTCAATTCATGGCGGAACTTGCAAAGGATGTGGCTGATGAGGAGGACAACCTCGTACTTCTTTGCATTCTTTGACACAATCAGCAGGCAACTAGGATTCTCAGAAACCACATTCACTCTCACAGCTAAGGTGACAGACGATGACTCTCAAAGGAGATACGAGGAAGAAATCATGGATTTTGGGGGGAGTTCATCTTCCTCCATAATGTTCACCATTACATCCACACTTGCATTGTTGAACTTGATGAGTTTCGTCTCGGGAGTCGTCATGAGGCTTGTCTTTGTCCCCCAATTCATTCCACAAGTGACTCTTAGTGCGGTGATAGTAATGGTAAATTTGCCTGTTTATGAAGCACTTTTCCTCCGGAAAGACAGTGGAAGCTTGCCCTCATCCGTTCTAATAATGTCTGTATTCTCACTATCTGTGCTATGTTTATTGCCCATCTTCTAGCTTGTTTTCTGAAAATTGTGCACAAACTTTTATTTATTTGATGTTTTACACTTCTATCTACGTTTTTGTCGTGGTGATGTTTCTAGCTTTACTTTAATGGCTAAAAGATCAAATAGGCCTACTATCCGTCTATGTTTAAAAACCGACCCAACCCGGCCGGGTTGACCCGAAACCCGGCGACCCGGACAAAAACCGGTTTGGTTTGTTCAAAATCCCGAAATGATAAAAAACCGGAAAAACCCAGTTGACCCGGGAAAACCCGGCCCGGACCCAGACCCAAGAAACCCGAGAAAATCGGGAAAACCTGGTTTTGGATGCTTTTCCAAAAAAAAAGTAATTTCTTTTTAATTTTAATGCATTTTTTAAACCAATAAAATTGCAATTTCAATACCCTAAAAAGAAAAACCATGTAATATATTTATATATTTATTTAAGAATGAAAATCATGCCGAATTATAATATAAATGTATAATACAAACAAAAATATAATTATATATTTTTATAGGATGGAAATTATACTTTGAAATATTATAAGAGTGTATTAAATGCTTAATAAGTAGTATTGTTAGTTGATTATTATGATTAATAACTACTTTTTATTATAATTTTGTATATAATTATATGTTTATTATTATATAGATGTATAATCGTTGACCGATTTTCTGACGTTGATCGGGTTGACCTGTGACTCAGTCACTTGACCGGGTCGCTCATCGGTCTGATTTTTTATTGAAATAATTTTATGCCATTATTTTAAAACTATGAGTGAAATCTATGTGAGGAAGCGGTTCAGCCCAGCTGATCGCCAACTCACTCTCCCTTACGGAAGGTCTCGGGTTCGAAACTCAATGGAGTGAGTTTCAACCTAGATTACTTCAGGTCGCCCCAGCCCCCCTCCCCCCAGACGCCCCTGGAGTAAAAAAAGGGTGAAATCTATGCAGCACCGCACCATTATTCAAGATTAAATGCATTCTTTCATACATGGTTACCAATATTCACACATTCTGACTTTTAAGATACAAAAAGCAATTTATGAACTTCTAGCCGCACTTATAAATAGCAGTGTCAACGTTTTCACGTTATTTGATCTTTTTAAGTACAACATAGCTATCCGTCTAAAATGCTCAATTTGCTCCTTGAAAAAAAATCTTGAATAGGGTGTCAATTGTGTATTTGATGTGATAATTTAAGGTGTCAAATAAGCTCCTAAACTTGACTGAGTTGTTCGGTTCACTCTATTAACAGTTAACAAGTGTAAAATTGTGAAAAAATAATTATAAAGCTATAAACATAGAAAATATAAATGTAAAACAAAACAGGAAGTGATACATGTATACAGGAAGTATATTGGAAGTAATCCATATAAACCCATTTAAAGCAAAATTTTAATGTAAATAGGAAGTATATACATGTATATGTATATTAGTATATATATTATACAAATGTGTGCCCAATCAATAATTTGGAGACCCCATTGAATTAGGGAAGGACTGGGCCGGGCCGAAACCGGCCCGGAACCGGACAGGCCCGCTATTGTGCGGGCCTGACCGGCCCGCTACTGTGCGGGCCCGGTTGGCCGATTCCAGGCTTTTAGCCCATTTTGGTGGGTCGGGCGGGCCGTGCTCGGGCCCCATTTTTGTTGAACCGGCCCGGGCTTTTTTTTTGTTTTTTGTTTTTCAATTTGTTTTTCTTTTCCTAGGGTAGGAGTGGGTGTTTTGGGGAGGTTTGGGGGGGGGGGGGGGTCGGGGGATAACAAGAAAGCAAAAAAAAAATAAACATTGAAACGGACCCGGCCCGGTTAGGCCCGGACCCGGTATCAACCCGGGCCGGTTCCGGGTCCAAGTACCTGGGAAAAAAGCCTGCCCGGGCCCGGGCCCGGTCCGGAACCGGAACCGGAACCGGAACCGGACCGGCCCGGGTTTATCCCTACAAATAGTCAATCGACTCCTACCGCTCATCCAATTGTCCTCTTTTAATTTTGAGAGTTTTCATATTTTAATTATTAGAATTTAATGTCTCTTCGGGACATCCGATAAAATTGGAACGATACAGAGAATTTCATGATAATTTATCAGTGTTTAGAATGTGTTATTCAGTTTTACTTTATTTGTTTATGTATTGGGAAATTTATTTGGGTGGATTGATTAAATATCGGTATTTGAGTAGATAGATTAATCATAACTACTTCGGGAAATTATTAAGAGCCCGTTTGGTAGCATGAAAATAGACTGATTTGGCTGATTCTGCTGAAATTTATGAACTTCTGGTTGAAGTGGCTGCATTGGCTGATTCTACTGATTTAAGAAAAAAATATTTTTAAAAAATATTTTTTTAATAAAATAAAGGAAAAATTATATGTAAAAATAACTAAAATTGTCATCTACAGTAACTTCAGCCAATACATCCAGAAAAGTAACTCCAACCTTACTTTTTTCTGCTTATTACACAATTCAGCACGTGAAAGCAAAAGTATGTGTTTGGTGAAAACGTTGGCTGATAAGTCTGATAAGCCGAAAAACAATGTTGCCAAACGGCCTCTTAGTGTAAATGACAAGTATATTGTTTGAAACTTTATTTAATTGGGCATATAAAACAATAAAACATGATTCTATAAATGAAATTGACCGCTTCTATCCGATCAAAGAGGGGATGTTGGACAAAGTTCTAGTGTTAATATATTCAAAAATGATGTTTGTACACATTCTTATACACACTTTTGTACACACCTATGTACATCAAGAATGGTTGTAATATATTACGGCAACACCACTGCTTTCAACGTCTGAAAATATCAAATAGATGAAAATAAGAAGAAAATAATTGATTAAGGGACCTTATCAAATACTACCCTCGTCCCGCTATGATTATCTCATTTTATCTTATCAGTCCGTCCCACTAAGATTGTCTCATACCAAATTTGGTAAAGTTTGTGTGGATCTAAACCATTCTTACTTTATTCTTACTTTATCAATTCAATATCAAACACATAAACCATTTTTATTAATTTGCGTGTCACTCCTTCTTGTCTCATTGTTAGCGGGACAAAGAGAGTAAGATGAAATAGGTTTTGGATTTTTAAAACAGGACGTTATGCTTCTCTTCACAAGACGAGAGTAACATGACAGTATTTACAAACATCTTGTACTTATTAGTATCAAATAGTTGTAGGCTTGTACTCCATCCGTCCCGAAATGATTGTCCTACTTTGACCTTCACACGGATTAAGAAAATGATGTTGACTTTACACTGTAACGACACTGTTTGGCACTGTAGCAACACTGTTTGGCACTGTTTGACACTGTTTTGTATAGATTTGTTTACCAAATAAGGAAAGTTTCAAAGTGGGACAATTATTTCGGGACGGACCAAAAAAGGAAAGCAAGACAATTATTTCAGGACAGAGAGAGTAGTATTAGGCATTAAACATGACAATACTTTTCAAACATGAAATTATTTTCAATCATGGCCGTAAAGTTCTTATTTTAGGAGAAAATATAACAACCCTATTTTGAAATTCAACACATGTTTACTCTTATTTAGAGCGATTTCGTTTTCTATACCTATGATTTTTAGAGAATTTTTTAAATAGGACTAAAAAATTGACAAAATGTACAAATATGATCACTATTATTTTCTTCCTAAAATAAGACTCATGGACTCCTAATTGATGACGTTTTATTCTTTTAATACGATCAAATCAGTAATTTTTAGATAGATGAAAATAGAAATATTATTTATGCAATTCTAGAAAATTGTGATTCAAGTTAATTCTTTCCTCTCTACACAAACTTCAACCACGCGATTCTTATTTTATTAATCTTGTGATGATCAAACTTGACAAAATTTTAAAAAAGAAGGCAATTTAGAATAGTGTAAAAATATACGCGTATCTACTTGACATTTTTCTTTTTCTTAACGCAGAACGACTCCCCAATGAAATTGGTCCAAGATGACTGCGCTGCTGTATATATACAATCATGATCGACTCATTCAGATCAGCTACTCCATACCTAATCTCCCTCTGACCAAAATTATTCTGACAATATATGAGTTCGGTCGGAAAATGATGGCCGGCCTGACACTCACTGTATAAAGCAATCAAAGCCTGTTCCTTGACAGGGGAAATTAATTAAAGATCATCTCAACCCAAAGCTTGGAAAATGGAGGACGATGGGAAGTATGAGGCTTTATTCGAAACGAAGACGGGAAAGGGAAGGGTGGTTTACCGGCTGTTGGCGTCCACCATTCTTGCCGGGATAGTTTGCGTCCTCATTTACAGAGTCCTTCACATGCCTGCGGAGGCAAGTGGCGGAATGGGGTGGTGGGTGGGAATGCTGGCGGCTGAGATGTGGTTTGGGTTTTATTGGCTCCTCACTCAATTTCTCCGTTGGAACCTGCTTTTCCGTCGTCCTTTTCCCCACAGGCTCTTGAAAAGGTCCAATTTGTTCCTTCATGTTTTGACTTCGCATTCCATGATGTAACATTGGTATCCGCTGGTCTGGTCTGATTTAATTTAATCTGATCTGAAATTTATTTATTTTTTTACATAAAGATGTTATTTTTATATATATTATAATCCATAAATACTTCGTAGAATTAGGCTTTAATTTTAGGAAACTAATTTAATTATTGATTAACAATAAAGCCCAAACTCCAAAGCCCCAACTAAGGCTTTATTTATTTAGTTTTATTTCTTTGTTTTTTACAAATCCAGATCATCTATATTATTCTGTCACTTGCACGACTTAAAATACGAACAAACTAAATCAAACAATAATAAAATAGTAAGTGTACTAATAATAACAACAATAACACCACCACTACTAATAATTATTATAATAATAATAGTAATAATAATAATAATAGTAATAATAGTAAGAATACTACTAATAGTAATACTACTACTACTAATAATAATAAAATATGGTCTGATCTGTTTTAGTCTGGTCTGTTTTGATCTGGTCTGGTCTGAGACAAATTACAATTCAAGTAAAAACAACCTAATTCCGTATCAGTTAATTACTTCATGTTTTACCCACTTTTCGAGTGATATTGGATTTTGCATACTATTTTTTAAAAAATTTGATTTTATACTTTATTTATACATTTTCTTCATAAAAGGTTATGTGTTGAGAGTCAAAGTAAAATTCACTCTAATTACTTTATAGGAAGAACTACTAAATAAGCCCTTAAACTTTCATAAAAAGTGCAAATAAGCCTTTTTATAGGAGGTTCTGTCTGGCCGTCGTCATTTGGGACGGTTTTCGGTGGAACTTTTTGATTAATTTTTTTGAGAATTTTTTTCATTAAATCTAGTTTACTCATACCAAACTTCAGCTAAAAATTTAATCGAGAAGGCAGTCAAATGAATTTTTAAAGATAACTGCGCAGTTAAGCAACGCAGTATAATTCAGAAAATCATTTGATTGTTTTCTTGATTGAGTTTTAGCTGAAATTTGATATTGGTAAACTAGACTTAATGAAAAAAGATGCTCAAAAAATTTCATCAAAACATTCTACCGAAAAATGTCCCAAATGGCGACAACCGGACGTAGCCTCCTGTAAAAGGACTTATCTGCACTTTTTATGAAAGTTCGAGAACTTATTTGATAGTTCTTCCTACTTTATGACGAAAGTAGTTTTTATTCCAAACTAATGCCCCTATTACACGTAATTCGCGAACAAGCACCAATGGCCAAAATTGGCGCCACATTCATTCTCAAAATATGACACTCCATAAAATACACAATTTCCCATTACTACTACCTTCGTGGCTCCATCCCAGTAACATTGTGAAGATGAGGTGATACGGTTATTAAAAACGAATTCATGTGATTGATATTGAATTGATAAAGTAGTAAGGATAGTTTACGGTCATACAAAATTTACCGAATTTGAAATGAGATAATCTTAGTGGAATTTTCCGAAAAGATAAATTCAGACAATTTTAGCGGGACAAAAGAAGTACTCCATGTATGGTAGGATTTAGTATAGGTACAAGTATCTTTGGAACAATTATTGTTCCGGTTCCTATTCGCTTGATCAACACAATTATTGTAAAGCTTTTAATGTAGTTTTTAAATATGTATTTTTTTCTAAAAATAATTTGAGTGCGGACATGGATCTGTTGCTTTATCGTCGGTCAAACATCGTAAACTGTAATGAGACAATAATAGGGCGACAGAAGTAGTAGCTTTTAGTGATTTAAAAAATCTTTAAAAAATGGGGGAATTTGACTTTGCATCCCACTTTTTGGGTGATATTGGATTTTGCACATCATTTTTAAAAAACTTTGATTTTGCACCCTATTTCACTTAAAAAATCCTTTGACTTTGCACCACAATAAGATTTTTTTCCTCACAAGATGTTTAATAAAAAAAGATGATTGTTTAAATTAGTTCAATTTGTCATACCAAGTTGTTGAACTAATTAATGTTAAAAGCTACAAACTCCCTTCAGATACTACTCAGATACTCCCTGCAGCATTTAAAAAATGATCTTTTATTCTTAATGTTGTCATTCCAAACATTCAACTAGAATTTTTGGAGACTTTAAATAGTACACCACTCGGAAGGTAAGAACTTATGTCTAGCAAACATTATTTTCATCTTATTTTCAGTTTATCAATCTCATTAGGCATTTTTTGTCAAACAAATTACTCTTAATGAATAAAGTATATTTAAGAAAACTATAGAATTTGTTTGCAATTAACTATTTATTGTTAGCCGTTAGCTGGTTGGGTTAGCGATTTGATAACAGCTTATAAGTTTATATTGATTGAATATGTTGAACTTGTATGAGTTGGGCATCTGGTGCGCACGGCTTAAGGTCCACCACTATTAGGACTGATTGAGTCACGCTGATTTACAACATCCCATGTACTATGTCGGGTCGAGGTGTCAGGGACTTGAGGTTGGGGATTCAACCTTTTGGACAAATTGTAATGCAAATGAAGCACAAAGGGTCTTGTTTGGATCCATTTATGAATGTGTTTAAGCTAAAAATAAACTAGACTAAAAATAAAATGGGATTCGAACAATTATGAATCGGCAATGGGATGATCAAAAATATAAAAATATTGTTATTTATTAATCTGGAATATCTCGAGTGCTAATGAATACTTGAGTACAAGAATGATGAACTATTGCATGTAAAATAGAATGTGATCCTCCTTTGCTTAGTTGCCTCTGGTTTCTGTATTTATCCTAGTTTTTTTCCTTCAGTCGGCTCAACTACCCATGAAAATAGGAACCTCTCCCCCACCTTCGAGCTATTTTTCTCCTCCATATTTGCGCAGGCTTGATCTTATCTTGACCGCATCAAAAAGACTTCTTGTTGTTGTTATTGGGCCTCTTGCTATTGTAAACGGGTTTTGGGTCCTATCTTTACTTGCATATCTCATTAAATCACCAACCCATTATTTGCTAAATTCATGGCCTAACAATTGCCCCCTTTCGAGAAGTTGAGGCGTATGAGCGCACATGTCGACCCGTTGAGCATCAACTTTTCGAAATCTCGAAAGCGCCTATACTTGTCATCCTTAATTATCAACTCGTCATCTGTCTGACGAGACATGCTGTCAACCTGTCATTCGTATAACAAGACGTTTTCCTCAACTCGTCATTTTTCTGACGACATGTTTCCTTCAACCCATCACTTGTCCGATGAGACGACTTCGTTAATTTCTGATCTAATCCATCTCTTTGACTAAAGCAATGAAGAACGAAAGCTGATCTCCAATCATCTACCTCTGAATTTGTGCTAATGATCATAACTAGGCAATGCTGACGAGTTGAAACTTCGTCCAGGTCGATGTCGACACTTTAGTTGACAGGGATGATTTTGTCCCTCGTTATAAAAATGATGGGTTTGGCTCCGTGCGTGTGACCGTAACCTGCAAAAACTTTAAATAACATTTCATTTGTGGTTTTAGTAATATTGTCGACATGAATATTTATGATTTATGTCAATGTCGTTTGTATTGTCTCCTTATGTTTTGGAGCTTATGTTGTCGTGCTCTTGGAGAACATGCTTATGTTGTGCATTTATGTAGTTTTGGCCAAAACATTACGGAGAACTGATGGTGTTTATACTCATATTTAGCGTACATGAAAAACCCATTTCTCCCCCTGAAAATTGTATTTTGACGTTTTGTAAGGCTTTGTATGTTAGGATTCTGTGATCATCAATTGTTGATTGCTCCTGTGCAAAAGAGAATTCGCTAACGTCGGCCGTTGGCTAAAAGCCAACGGCCCTCCGATGCTTAAGTTAGTGATCATTTATAGGCAATGTTCTAAAAGGTGCTAGGCGCTAGTCGGGCGCCAGCCTAGTGCCTAGCGCCTAGGCGGGGACTAGTCGAAGACATAGAAATTATAGTTTTATCAATATCCTTGCATAAATATGATTAACAATGTTGTGTTTTGGTGTGTATAAAAATATGTATACATATTAGCATGCATGAATGATAGAGTTGTCACATTTAAAAATATATTATTCCCACTCACTTAACTTCATTATGTAGTAAATATTACTCCCTCCGTCCCATTTTACTTGTCTTACTTTCCTTTTTCCGTTGTCCAAAATAAGTGTCACATTTCCCTTTTTGGAATGAAACATGTGGTTCACAACATTTCATTTTACTATACTCAAATCTCAACCACAACTTTTACCTTTTCAACTAGTTTATTAAAAATTGTATCAAAACCAAATAAGACACATAAAATGGGACAGAGGTAGTATTAAATAATAATAACACTTAAGTTTTTATCATTATGTACAACTAATAGCTTTCTTCATATGTGTTAATAAAGTTAAGGGTATATATATTTCTAAGAATACTAAAATAAAAGCAAAATAAAATGTTCGACGAATCTAGACGTCTAGGCGGCTGATTAAACGCTATGGGCAGGTAACTAGGCGCCTTAGGCGGTCGACTAATTCACCTAGGCACCAAATCAATTAGTCGGAGCGCCTAGACTAAAATCGGGACGCCCGACCATCGCCTAGCGTCTAGGCGGGGACTAGTCAGACGCCTAGAGCGATTTTTAGAAAAGTGCTTATAGGTAAAGGAAAGTAATAAATTTAGAACACGTATGTGAAACTAAATAAATATCTATTGTCAGAACCTGTCTGTAGTCAGATGATTTCAATCATGTCATCAGGTTTATCACCAGACGACATGCCCCCCCCCCCCCCCGGACGACAGAAGTGACAACAATATGTAAAAGAAAATATTAAATTAAACATGAAACAACTTTAAGGGTATCGTATTGCAGCTCTTCAGAACCTGTCTGTCATTGGATGACATGCCCCCCGTCTGACGACTTCGATCATGTCGTTTGATCTATCTCGTCATAGAAGTTACTACTCGTTCTTCAGGTCTTGAATATGGAATTCCATGCTTGTAATCATGCCTCATGGGAGATTCTGATTCCCCGTGCCCCCTTCGTGCTCAATTTGTCTTCGACGGGATTGTAAGTCCTCTTCTAGACGGATGAAAGCCAACGTCTTTTCTTGGACATCTTCAAAGGACCGACAAGGGTATTTCGTAAGTTCATGGTACAACTCTGAGTCTTCATACAAACCTTTTCTGAATGCTTCAATGATGGCAGATACGTCACATTTTGGGATCAACACATTTTCCTTATTGAATCGGTGCAAATAATCTCTCAAAGATTCATCCTGTCATTGGACTACTCGGTAAAGGTCACTGGTCTATTTTTCGAGGACCCGACTGCTTGCGAATTGTTGGTTGAACAAATTGACTAACTCCGCAAACGAGTTGATGCCTTCATTCAGCAGATTGATGAACCACGTCAACGCTGGTCCTGTCAATGTCGTCCCAAATGCCCTACACATATTGAGCGACATGTTCTAGGGAGTCGGTAGTTCCATCGAATAATCTCATTGAGGGGCAACAAACTTTCTTGGAATCTCAACGTCTATGATGTGTCGTCCGAAAGGGGAATCTGCGTAGCATGTCTGTGAAGCCACATCCAATGGCGGTGGCACTCCAGGTATACCATTGATCTTTTCTCGCATTTCCCTCAGCTCTTCCATGATGACGGCTAAGGGGTCTATTGGATATGCTTGCATTTGTCTTGTCGTCGAGATTGGTGACGTCATTGCGTCGGTTGCCTCCTGCCTGGTTGGTGATGGTATAATGATGACCTTGGGCTCTTGCTGGTTCCTGTTGCGGATGTCGACATGTCAACATGTCTCGGGACCCGTCGTCTCTGGGGCTCTGCAAATAGACTATGGGACACATTTCGCCTAGGATTTGGGAGAGGGACATACCGGAAAGAGGGTCCCGGTCCCCTGAGAGTGCCGACCGTGGAATATGGGATAAAAGGTTCTGTCTGGGCCGACGTGATAGCTGGAGTCGGCATATTTTGATTGGCAGAATGTAGACCTGTTGTCAGCGATCCAGTTCGCAGCGAGTCCGGGAAGAAACATGTTGGAATATTTGGCACTGGAGTCATTTTCGGGACAAGAGGAACATAAGGTATGACTTGCGAAATGACCGTCGCTTGATGATTGCCGGTCGGTGACAGCCCTAAAGTGAGAGATAGCGAGTCCGTCGTATTGGTGAGTGATTCAGTCAGGACTGGAATGGGGTCCAATGCCAGCCTCGTTGCTGCTGTCATGTTGTCACCTTTTCAGCTAGACCTTGAGTTGGAAGCTATGGACGCCACCGATTGCATTTGAGAGCGCAACACGTCATTTTCTTGTTGGATAGAAGCAATTCACCGAGCCATTTCACACCGGATTTCTTCCTTAGCGGTTTTAAGTTGCTCATGAAATTCTACTAGCAAGGGATTTGTGCTTCTGGCCATGATCGATTCTTCTTTCCACGATTTTCCCACAAACGGCGCCAAATTGTTTAAGCTCAAAATAAACTAGACTAAGAGGCTGTTTGGCAACCCTCATTTTCGGCTTATCAAGCTTATCAGACAACTTTTTTACCAAACACGTAAATTTTGCTTTGGCGCACTGAATTGTGTAGTAAGCCGAAAAAGTAAGGCTGAAGTTACTTTTCTGGCTGTATTGACTGAAGTTACTGTAGATGACCATTTTAGCTATTTTTACATATATTTGTTTCTTTATTTTATTAATAAAATATATTTTAAAAATATTTTTTTCTTGTATCAGCAGAATCAGCCAATGCAGTCACTTCAGTCAGAACTTTATAAATTTCAGCAGAATCAACCAGAACAGCCGATTTTCGTGCTGCCAAACGGGCTCTAAAAATGAAATGGGAATCGAACAATTATGAATGGACAATGGGATGATCAAAAATATAAAAATATTTGTTAATATTCAGTGTACATATTATTTTTGTGTATTAATATTTTGTATATTTTGTCGTGTAAAAAATGTCCCATGGCACGATCCAGACGAAGTGTCTGGTCGTGAGGAGGGGTGTTAGAATCCCACATCGGAAATGTTTGAATCAACAAAGTGCTATATTAAGACATGATCTACTCCTCTTATCAGGTTGACCTTTTAGGATGGAACCCCGGGTGTTAACAATATTGTTATTTATTAATCTGGAATATCTCGAGTACTAATGAATACTTGAGTACAAGAATGATGAACTATTGCTTGTAAAATAGATTGCGATCCTCCTTTCCTTCGTTGCCACTGATTTCTGTATTTATCCTAGCTTTTTTTCCTTCAGTCGGCTCAACTACCCATGAAAATAGGAACCTCGTCCTCAGCTATTTTCTCTCCTCCATATTTGTGCAGGCTTGATCTTATCTTGACCGCATCAAAAGGGCTTTTTGTTGTTGTTATTGGGTCTCTTGCTATTGTAAACGGGTTTTGGGCCCTATCTTTACTTGCATATCTCATTAAATCACCGACCAATTATTTGCTAAATTCATGGCCTAACAGAATGTCTTGAACACTCTTCTACAAGAAAGGCAACGACTCTACTTCAACTTGTCTCTAGCCCGCCAGAAACTTGTCTCTACCTCTCAACAACTTCTCTGCAATTTACCTCTTCCTCATACATGAAAATACATGAAAATACTACGCACTTCTTTATACATTAGTCTAAATTATTGTTTCCTCAAGCAACAAGACCATTTTTTAAATACATGAAACACGCAACTTATTAAGCCTTGTTTGCAAACTTACAATTTCAATTGCTACCTCCGTTCCATTAATATTACGATGGAAGGACGTGACACGATTATTAAAAATAGTTTATTTATGTGGTAGATATTAATAGATAAAGTAAGAATAAAGTAAGAATGATATTAAATCGTAAAGTAGGCCCAAAATACTTTCTTTATATGTAATGTGAGTAGGCTTCTTTTTATTTACAAATTCAATTAATTCATTAGGCCTAATGTGTAATTTTTGTTGACGATTTGAAAATTTTAAAACATAACTATAAAGTTTTGATTAGAACCAGACAAGTTTTAAAGAAGAATAAACATTTAATTTTGATGTTTAAGTAAAACTGGTTGAAATTCAACACACATGTTATTAAATCAATAAAACACGCATTTTCACATCTTTTTAGCCTTCAAGTCATTTTATGTCTTTTAGTTACAAAACTATCAATTTATACTATTGTCTTTGGACTCCGGTGCCTCTCAATCCTCAACCCTCATCCCAATTATCTACAATTGACTATGTCTCGAGAAAACTTAATGGATTAGCAATTTTAAGTATTGAACATGAGATCTTGGAAAAGATTGATTATAACGCAATTTTTGATGATTTCACTGCACACTGTTCTTTTGTGATACTTGTGTTGTTACTTTTGTCCAAATATGTAATTTAAATAATATTAAAGTGAATTCATCTTTACTTTATAACCTTTATTAGATAACTTTAGGGAGAGTTCTTGAAATAAGAGTAAAAATGTTTGATAATTCTAAAATAAGACTGTCATATTTTTATTCTCTAAATAGAAGTAATTACTGTTAAGTTTGGTAAATAATGTCATGTCTAATGTCTGATACTGTCAAAACATGACAATAATTACTCGTATATTATGAAATAAAACATGATATTCTTATTTTGGAATATAAAAACGGTTTTAATCCTGTTTAGAATAATTTTTCATATATTTAATATACTTCATAATTCTTATTTTAAGCAAGTATAATTTACTATGTATCTTGGAAATAAGGCCAAGATTTGTATCTTGAGTAGGCCCAAAACTTGACCTGACCGGCCCCGGGTACCTTCTTCTTTCCCTTTTTCCTTTGCAGCAAGTAGCAACGATGAAGTGCATAGAAAAAAATAATACCCCGTTCCTAAATAACTTCCAACTTTTCTTTTTCGTCTGTTCCAATTAAAATTTCTACTTTTCATTTTTAGTAAAGAATTTGTGATTTACAACATTTCTTATACATTTCTCTCTCCTCTGCACGATTCTCCACCACACAATACCCAATATCTTAAATTGTATGCCAAATCTATTTGGATGTTTTAATAGGAACGGGGGAGCATAAGAACCAGGTGATATTAGGCAGTTTTAAAATTGATTACATAGATGAAAAGTTATAGAAATGATTCCAACAATTAGAAAAAATAATAGGAAAAGATATCTCAAATACCTTTCGTTTGTTGTTCTTGAAGAAACAGAATCGCAGATATCTCATATTACACCTCTATTTTTGCATTATACCCCAAATTTGTGTGCTAAGTCCTGGGAAACAAACAGATATGGGAATAACTTGCCAAATGTGGATGTGTTCGTATGTACGGCTGACCCAAAAACAGAGCCGCCGATCATGGTGGTCAACACCGTCTTATCGGTGATGGCGTACGACTACCCGCCGGAGAAGCTCAGTGTTTACCTGTCTGATGATGCTGGGTCTGAACTTACCTTCTATGCTCTATTGGAGGCTTCCATCTTCTCTAAGCATTGGCTTCCCTTTTGCAAAAAGAACAACATTGACCCCAGGTGCCCTGCAGCTTACTTTCCTCTTCATCAAGATGGTGTTGAGCCCACAGGTTTCTCCATGCTCAAGGTGCCATCTCTATTTTAAAACATTATTTTACGAGCACTCAGAACCAACCGGACAGTTATCTAGAAGGAGCTGCGTCCGGGTTGTAGCTAACTTTTAGAAACATTTAAAAAGAAAAATGTGACAAACTTTAAAATATGAATAAAGTATATGAAGTATTTTTGTATGTGCTAAGACTGCGTACATTCAATCACTCTTACCTCACTCGACGCACCATAGGGCCACCGTGATTATGATGATATTTTTTGTACCTTATCCACCTAAAAAGATTTGCAAAAGCCAAGTTCATTCTTCTAAGACAATACTTTTATTAATGTTAATTCTTTCGTTTTTATATGTATATGAAGTTTATAACTAAAGTTCGTAATAAATATTGGGATGAAAAATCATACCCAAAAAATGGTAGCAAGAAGGGCATTTTATAAATCATTTTAATCGAAAAAAGCTTATTATTAGTCCCTCCCCAAACGTGGACTCTAGTCTGATCATTTCAATAGTAAAACAGTCATCTTCAATGAAATATTCCTTTCACCACTTAAAACATCACCAATATATACTAATATAGTGACCCGTCAAATAGTAATATACAATTATGCAGTATACACACGACAAGATATTGAGGTTGATGGTATAAAGCATTTTGCATGTATTTTTTTATAGACAAATTTGTTTACACAATATTTTTACATTCTTGCCAAAGGTAAAGGAGGGCATTGCTTGCTTCCTCTAATTATGCCACTGGTATTGAATGCAAAATAAATAAAATGTGATTGAGATTTATGCATAAGAGAAGAATAATTTTAATTAGAAATTAGTTACTCTAACTAAAATGGATTTATTTCGACACAATTAAATAAAAATGGACAAAGATAGTGGTACAAATGAAGATTGGAAAGAAAGATTGGGATTTTAATGGATGAGATCATGTGACAAACCTTTAGAGTAACTAATTTCTAATTTGTACATATTGGTAAGGGACAAAACATGATGGGGATGGAATCATGATCCCGTCCTGAGTTAGTCGGAATCCCAACTAACTCAGATAGGACAAAATGAATGAAGGTGGGGAGTATAGAGATCAGGACTGTCTGGAATGATCCTTGGGCAGACAGTCATCATCATCATTACCCCAATGCTGCAAACGCAGTCTTACCCTGTACTAAAACACAGAGATACAGTATTGAGGAAAAATTTCTCAGTTCTTGATAAAAGTACCCTGATCTTTAGAACCTCAAAAAGTTGTTTAAAGTTTTATGAATATAGAAAAAGTTCTTGGATAATGACTTTGTTGTACACACTACATAGCAATAATCACATGGATTGCCTTCTTATGTGGATAGAAGCGCTATCAAGAGATGGAAAACAGAATCATGATTGCTTGCAAACTTGGAAGAGTCCCCACAGACGATCTTTTTGAGGAGAAAGGATATTTTAAGTGGGATCCATCTTCATCTCCTGGAAATCATGCTGCTATGGTGAAGGTGTTGGACATTATTCCTTAAACATGCACCTTCATACTTGATTCCAATTTGTATTGCTTAATTATTAGAATTGGTTAGTTGGAGAATCCTGACTTCTGTTTTTTATTCTTAACCTACAAAATAGATACTAATTGATGGGAGGGAGGAAGAATCAAAGGATAATGAAGGGTATGTTTTGCCAACTCTAGTTTACATGGCCAGGGAGAAAAGGCCACAATATTTTCATAATTTCAAAGCTGGTGCCATGAATGGATTGGTAAGCTATAGAACTATAATATACATCAAAAGTATATGACTTTAAGTCAATACCTAATTGTTCTACTTAATATATGCAGATTAGGGTTTCATCTGAGATTAGCAATGCACCTATCATCCTGAATGTCGACTGCGATATGTACTCAAACAACTCAGGTTCAATTCAAGATGCCCTTTGCTTTTTTATGGATGAAAAGAAAAGCCACAATATTGCTTTTGCACAATTCCCACAAAACTTCCAAAACATTACAAAGAATGACTTATATGGAGGATCCTTGCTTGTAACTGATGTAAGTATAAGAGTTTTATTATTCACTTCACTTGTTTCTATATATACTTCCTTAATAACATTCTTTTTCTTTACAGAAAGTTGAATTTCATGGCCTGGATGGTTGTGGCGGCCCTTTGTACATAGGAACGGGCTGTTTCCACAGGAGGGAAGCATTATGTGGAAGGGAGTTTAGCAAGGAAAATAAGATTGAATTGAAGAGTCACTCCCCTATTAGGACACACACAAATGCATGTGAATTGGAAGATAGGCTACAAGAACTAGTTAGCTGCACCTATGAACAAGACACTCAATGGGGCTATGAGGTCTAAATATTTATGTGCATCTTACTTTGTTTTATTTATGCATTAGTTAAGGACCCATGCTCTTTGTTTCGAAAGTGTGATATGATTTTAATTATTTATGCTTTAATTAAGGACACATTTTCTTCGTTTGGAAAGTGTGATATGATTTTATTTTCTTAAAACCTGGTCAGAGTCTTTCTTATTCCAATGTTTCTCCTGTAGTGTGATGGTTTATGATCTTGTCTAATTTTGTTGTCACGGATATAACATATGCTCTAATTTGAATTTTATTTGTCTAGTCTTGTCTGAATGTTTCTAATATCAGGTCTGATATGCTGTAAGTTAAATAGAAATAAGAATCAATAATAATAAGTAAAAAGAATGAGGTGAAGAGAGCACCGCCTAAGTCTGCATACATCTTATGGTCATTATTGACATGACATGTTTTCTTTTATTAATTGATTTACAGATTGGTTTGAAGTATGGATGTCCAGTTGAAGATATACTAACTGGACTTTCAATTGTGTCTCATGGGTGGAAATCAGCTTACTATAGTCCTACAAAAAAGGCGTTTTTAGGTGTGACAGTAACCACTCTTGAACAGGCTCTGGTTCAACACAAGAGATGGTCAGAAGGAGATTTACAGATTCTCTTTTCAAAGTATAGCCCAGTTTGGTATGGACTTGGGAAGCTCAACACTGGTCTTATATTTGGTTCTCTCACTTATTGCCTCTGGTCTCCTAATTGCCTGGCACTTCTTTATTACTCTATTGTTCCTTCTCTTCATCTACTCAAAGGCTCTCCCTTGTTTCCTCAGGCAACTCCCAACTCTAATATTCTCTCTGCTATGACATTACACTTGAGTTACAAAGTTTGAAAATCAGGAAAAATGTTTTTCAAATTTTTTACTAGGAGTTTCCAAAACTAATATGATTAGTATAAATATGAGTAGTTTTTTACTTGTTTATTAATTATACACCTTATAACATGTACTCCCTCCGTCCCGTTGGAATGTTCCCGGTTTGACCTACACATATTAAGGAAATAAACTTACCAGGGGTAAATTTTACTGTTTTGACACTGTTTCGACACTGTTTGGCACTGTTTCGACACTGTTTTGCACTGTTTGACCCTGTTTTGATGTAGGATAACTTTCCATTTAGGGAAATGAGAACTTTCCAACGGGACATCAAAAAAAGGAAAGCAGGAACATTCCAACGGGACGGAGGGAGTAACTTTTAAAAGAATGACACAAAATGTTTGTTTTAGTTAAAAAACTAAAGATTAACACAAGAAAAACCATTTTGAACAAGATCTTAACTAATCAGCTTTTACAAAAATGCAGGTATCTAGCAAGTGGATTTTAGCATTTGCTTATTTGATAGTTGTGGAGCATGCGTATAGCTGTTCCGAGTTCCTTTGGGCCGGAGGAACACTATTGGGTTGGTGGAATGACCAAAGAATGTGGCTCTACAAGAGGTCAAGCTCTTACCTCTTTGCACTTCTTGATACAGTGTTGAAGCTGGTGGGTTATTCATCAAACCATACATTTGTAATCTCATCAAAGGTCTGTGATGAGGATGTTTCTTTGAGATATGAGCAAGAGATCATGGAATTCGGAAGCACTTCTCCGATGTTCACTGTTCTGTCAACACTGGCAATGATCAATCTTTTCTGCTTCGTTTGGGTTCTAAAGAAAATGGCAACAGAAGAATTTATAGTTCAGAGCCTGGGATTGCAAATTGTGCTGTGTGGGGTCCTAGTTTTGATCAACCTACCTTTGTACAATGGCATGTTCTTCAGGACAGACCATGGAAAGATGCCAATCATTACTACCCTTAAATCAACTATTGTGGCTCTCTCAGTGTGCACTTGTTTTGCAATTTCATAATCTATAAAAATCTATTTTCTTTATTATAACTCCTTAATTGAAGAAAGAAAACAAATATGCATTAAGCTTGTTTGAATGATTCCATGATGTTCTTGAATAGTCAGACTTTACTTGGACTGGAAAATGATTGTGTAATGAAATTGCTAGTGTAAAACATTACAGTGTGGTGGCAATATATATATATATATATATATATATATATATATATATATATATATATATATATATATATATATATATATATAGAATAGAAATCAAATACAAATCATGCTTAATTTACAAAGTACAAACTTATCTTGGCCATCCGATGAGTTGATCTAAAGGATATAAATGCAAGGTGGCATTTTTGTAATAAAACCTAACTTTTCTAGGGTGCAACTCATTGAACGTAAATGTGCAACTGCTATTTTATGACTATATAATATGCAACACTTTGAACCTCAATATGCAATGCAAATAACGTCAAGGTGCATCGTACAAACATTTGCACAATAAGCACAAATTGTACTTGATCTTTCCCCTATATATATATATATATATATATATATATATATATATATATATATATATATATATATATATATATATGGGGTTGGGTTCTAATAAGAAGACATCTTAACGTGAGAAATGAGAAGCTTCACATTTGTCTCTTTCTGATGCACTTTTTCGCTAATCTGATGCACTTTTTGCGATGTCAGAAAAGTTCCGATTAATTACGGATATGCCACCGCGTCTAGCATCACTTTTTTAATATTTTTTGCACTTTCCCGTGCATTTTTTTGCTAATCTGATGCACAAATCTTAAATGAACGCCCCAGATGCATTCTCACTTCTTACGATAAGCACTCTTCTCATTTGATCCTTATTCACACACACACACACACATATATATAAGAGATCAAATACAAACCATGCTTAAAATACTAACCTACAAACTCAATAATATGCATCACTTTGAACTTCAATATGCAGTAAAAATAATGTAAAGATGCAGGGGTGAGATCACATACAAACTAGTCCTCCCATTCAAATCATCTTTACATTATTTGTATTGCACATTGAAGTTTAAAGTGTTTCATATTATTCAATCCATAAAATAGCAGTTTCATATTTACATTATTTGTATTGCATATTGAAATTCAAAGAGTGCATCTTTACATTATTTGTACTGTATATTGAGGTTCAAAGTATTGCATATTATTGAGTTTGTAGGTTAGTAAGTTAAGCATTGTTTGTATGTGATCTCACCTCTCTCTCTCTCTCTCTATATATATATATATATATATATATATATATATATATATATATATATATATATATATATATAGGGTGCAGTTCCGGTGAGAACACTTCTTAACGTGAGAAATGAGAACGCTCTAAAACGATGCACTTTGTCATTCACGAAAATGCACATTTATTGTTAAAGTAATGCAAAATTCTAATGTGCACGTTTACATGTAAACTTTTGCACCCTTGAAATGCAGATTTTCCAATTTTTTATATGCACATTTCTATTTTACTTGGTGCACGATGCCAAAATCCAAAGCTGCAGGATCATTCTCATTTCTCACATTAAGAAGTATTCTCATTTGATCCTTATTATATATATATATATATATATATATATATATATATATATATATATATATATATTTAGGTTCATGTGAGAATTTAATCTTAGGAGAGCAAAAAAGAATAGGTATCAACCATTGGATTGGCTTCTAATTATTCGTCCGCCTAAGTCATCATAGAGGGCATTGGAGTCAATTCCATTTTTACGTTGGTAGAGTTCCTAAAATAACGCTGCATGATTCCTTCCTTAACCGTCTCTCCGCGATTCTTTCCTAAGATATGTTCTTCATGTGTCCTTCCTCCTGCTTCGTTGTTCTCTCCTTGTGCGTAGGTATTGATCGGAATTCATCGTGGTAGAAAACTGTTTGATCGGATTGCGTTGCTCTATTTTTCCTTGTCGAGTTTGAACATAACTTATTTGGTTTTCTTTACCATCCGTTGTTGGTTTTCTACTCCAGGCTATCGTTCCTCCATGGAGTCCAGTAAGTATTGTTTATTTGATTTTGCTTATTGTTTAAACTCTCCAAGATTTATGTTCAAAGAAGATGAATATATGTGTTAATATTATCATTTTTTGGATAATATTAACAAAAAAAATTATCATTTTTTGGATTGACATACTATACAAATTGGACATGGCAATGTAGAATCTTGACGTATTATTTATTATGTTGTTTGAATATTGTAAACGTGATGCGCTTGTAGTTTAGCGATTCCTGATGTATAAGCATAATATATTGAAAAATTGTGTTATGTTCAAACTGAATTTCTTACTATTTTTAGTGCACTATATTTAGTATTATGATTCATACTCGTGTGGATATTGCGCTTTTAGTCTACTACGTGTAGCATAATCCTTGTTAATGTGTATATCAATCTTTAAAAAATGGTGTTTTTTTCATATTAAAATTTCTGTTTTTTTCTTCTGCACTTTATTGTTTATTATGATGCTCTTATATGCGTTTTGTTATTGCACTTATACCTTAGTCAGTGTGCTAAAGTGTGTGTTTGTCAATTATTTCTCTGCATGGTTCAATCAGGTTCAAGTGACGTTAACTTTAGTGCCTCTGCAGCAATTTCTCAATCATTTGATGTTAATACAATGCAAGTTTCTCCGGGATCCACTATGTACTGGACACCTGTTTGTGACCCTGCTTTTAAACCGCATGTTGGTATGTTGTTCAATAACTTAAATGATGGTATGCGTTTTTATGATCAATATGCATCAATTTGTGGTTTTGAATCACGTAAAAGCAGTCAACATAGGGCTCGTGATGGTGTTATTGTGTGGAAACATATGGTGTGTAATAGACAGGGTTTCAAAAATGTAACTAAAGCTAAGACGGTTGCATCTAAGAGTGATTCTTGCAAGAATGCGGATTTAGATAATCAGTTGAGCACTGAAAATGAAGACTTCACTGCTGCAAATGAATTATGTGAATCTGATGGATCTGCAAATGAAGACCAACCTGACGTTGAAGATTTACCAACTCCGGGTGTATGTGTTGATGATGAAGACAAAAAAAGACGCACAGTTTCTAATAGGTGTGATTGCAAAGCACGTGTGGTGTTTAGGCTTGCATGCATGAATGGATACAAAATTACATTCTTCGAGGAGAGGCATAATCATTCCATGTCTTCCGCTTCTTCGATGCCATTCTTAAAAGTTAATAGGAAACTTGACATTGGTCATCAATTTTTTTTTTGAATTGTGCTAAAGCAAACATTGGTACAATGAAATGCTACCGATTGTATAAGGAAACTGTTGGGGGTTATGCCAATATTGGTGCTACGTCCGTGGATTTTAAGAATTTTAAACGTGACTTGAAGGCTTATCTAGTTGGCGTGGATGCCCAAATGTTGATAGATAAGCTATTTAGAAAGAAAGAGATATGTTCAGCCTTTTCATTTGAGTATGATGTTGATGAGAGTGACCAGTTGACACGCATTTTTTGGGCGGATCCAGTGTGCATAAAGAACTATGCTTTATTCGGGGATGTTGTTTCTTTTGATGCTACATATGAGACAAACAGGTATTGGTGTTATAATTAATTATTCCCTTTAAATAATTTAATTTTTTCCTATATTTTTATTAATGCTACAATTCTGTTTTTCTTAGCCTTTACATTGTGCATAAAAATTAATGCACATTTTTAAATTAGTTAATGCACTATATAATGCACATTGTTACATCAGTCAATGCACTATTGTGTTTTTTTAATGCATTCAGGTATAACATGGTTTTTGCCCCTTTCACTGGCGTTGATAATCATAAAAAGTGCATTACTTTTGGCGTGGGTTTGTTGTTGAAAGAGGATGTGGAATCTTATACTTGGTTGTTTCGTTGTTTTTTAAATGCAATGGGACGGGAACCTAAGTGCATCATAACAGATCAAGACCCATCCATGAAAATTGCTATTCCACATGTGTTCTCTACAACATGTCACAGATTTTGCATGTGGCATATAATGTCCAAGGTGAGTTCGAAAGTTGGTCCGGTTTTGAGTAAAGATTCAAATTTTATGAAGGAATTGAATTCTATTGTCTGGAGTCATTATTTGCAGCCAACTGAATTTGAGATGAGATGGGCTAATATAATGAGAGAATATGACCTACTTGATCATAATTGGTTCTCGCACATGTTTGAGATCAGAAGGCTGTGGATTCCTGCTTATTTTGGTGATCTTTTCATGGCGGGTTTACTTAGGACTACATCACGTTCTGAAAGCGAAAATAATTTTTTCAATGAATTCACAAATCCTAATTTCAGTTTGGTTGAGTTTTTTATGCAGTTTGAGAGTGCAATGGATTCTCAACGACATAAGAGTGCACAATTGACCAAAGTTTCTGAGTCCTCCATCCCCGAGTACAAGACTCCATTACACATTGAAAGATATGCTTCCTCTGTTTATAATCATTCAATTTTTTATCTCGTTCAGAAGGAAATATGTTACGCCTGTTTTTCTTGTGCCGTCCTTAGTCTTCAGCATGAGGGTTGTGTTTTTACGTATGTCATATCAGATGAACGAGCTTTACATTTCACAGTTGTGCACAATACGAGTGACGGTACTACACTTTGCTCTTGTAAACATTTTGAAAGGATTGGCATATTGTGTCGTCACATTTTTTTGTGTTGAAAGATAAAAAGGTCAACGCAATTCCAGATAGATATGTGCTACGTCGATGGTGCAAAGATTCAATTCTAAAGCCCCTTAATGCTTTTGAAGATGGTGTTTTTCAACAGTGTGTTGGCACTGAAGAACAAACAGTAGCTATGAAGACATTGTGGTCTGATATTCATTTTTGTGTTGGAATGATTGAGTATCAACCTCACTTGTTTCAGCAGTTTTCAGATGCCATTAAAGTGCAAAAGGAATTATTGTCTAGCTCTCAACCAAGTATTGCAGCAGCAACTTCAAAAAGTGATGTTATCAAAGGTTTTTATGGGTCACCTATTCCTACACAACTTAGCGTGCATCCACCTCAGCAGGCTCGATATAAGGGTTGTGGTAAGAGGATTAAAGGTGGCAAGGAGAAAGCAATTGAAGTGAGCCAGAAGACTAAGAGATTATGTAGAACATGTAATCAAAAAGGGTATCATGACAGTAGGAATTGTCCTTTAAACTCTGATGAATGGCCATTCTTTTAGTAATTGTAATTTGAACTCATACGAATGATTATTCTTTTTAATTTATTGTTGCAATTCTTTGTTTTGGTTTTACATTACCAAATATTATAAATTAGTACCCATTGATAAGTTTGTTCTTAGTTGTTATTGATACCCTGAAAATATTTGTTAATTTTATTTATTGCGGTTTTTAAATTACTCAATCGTGTATTCTAAATTCAACATCACAATACGTATCACAATGCAGTTTACGTTCATCTCAAATTACTTTTTGCACTTTTTTTGGAATAAAAATTGTTTGCACTTGGACTAATCTACTTACTTGCACATTAATTAATCAATTAAAATGTATTGTTATTCATCAAATACTTCATGATTTGTACCAAGGAGTTTCATTGTATTATGAAAACAGTGCTTTTAAAAAAAACTCTGACACAATTATGTATACATATGGACTGTGTACTCATACATTGTGCATAATGTATACCTGTGTGCTTTAATTTTTCCATTGCACTCGTATGAACAAACTTCGTAAATATTTGCATTCACCACACCATATAAAATCATAATATAAGTCACACAATAATGTCTAAACCTAATTAAATTATATTCGAAAAACGCTAATCGTGTTGGTAACCAACAAAATCAAATGTTCAAGGCATCACGCCTTTTAAAAAAACAAATACGCCTCACGCAATATAAAAGTTCAAGCACAATAATTAGTCCCAAATTCACGCAATCAAATGTTCAACGCATCAAACAATTGTTTAGTCCCAAATTCACATCTATTTCTTAATATTTTTCCCCTTCGCAAATGACTTCACTTCATCCAAGTTCTTGTCCTTCATCTCATTCACGTCTGATGTGATGAGTGCTGCACAATACCTCACTCGTAATGCACTCAGTTCCTTTGCATCTCCTTTCTTCACTCCACAATCCCAAACCTTGACGCCTTTGCCCATGTAGGTCTCCATATGCCTCATGCTCCACAAGCCGTAATCATGCACATTATTAGCTTCTCTCCAGTTCATTGTCAATCTCTTTAGATTTGGCTTGTAAAATGTATTGGAGTCATTATCAAGCCCCACTTCAGTAAAGTAGTCCACAAACATATCTCTCTGTTTTAAATAATTGCAAGATAAACAATTTAAATGTGTCACTCAAACAAGTTGTGCATATTAAGATGTTGATGCGTATTATTTAGACACTCACCAGTGTGTATGGCATTTCACCATATTTTTCATCGAACCGTATTTGATCAACTACGTTGTCCAAAACTTCAACAATCTGTTTCTTCATGTGGAAACACACAACATAACAATGCTTTGGTTGCACTATTGGGAAAAAGAACTGCATCAAAAATATAATTCAGTTACACACGTATATATTTACATGCATGCTAAACTAATTATGCACATATATATAAATATTAAATTTACCAAATCTACATCTTCCATTTTGATATCCGGTTTCACGGATTCCAATGCCAGAACCATTCCTTCTTTAAACACTTCATATGCCTGGTCTTCAGGGAGTGGGTTATCCATTGTGTACAACTACAAACAAATGCACATATTCGAATTCTAATGTGCACTGAAATAATTCTATGGTGCACATAAATATTCAATAAATTCTATTTGTGATTTAAGATTCTTACACAACGAATTGATTTCGCAAACAATCTGCACGGTGACGTAGAACTCCGTGTTTTCTCTTTCCTATTCAAGCACACTGTCCAGGCGTCTAACACGTTCATGCACAAGTGGGTTTTCTCCCCGAGGCTAAGCATCTCTCCTCGCTTGATTGAAACTTGATTGTATTTGAAAACAATCTCATCCCTAAAATTACAAAAAAAAAACAGTTTATTATTATTTATTTAAGTTCATAACATTAATAACACTTAAAGAATTTAACCATTTTTCTATTTAACCTCTTATCAGGAGCAGCTTGCATCACCCAGTTCCATATCACTCTCTCATTTGGGTTAGATTTGTCATTAGGGTCTAAAACTCTTAACATGAAAGGAGATTTGAATACTTGTGTAGCCTTTCCTGCCCTCTTTGGCCTCAAATAAGTTGTTTTCTCACCTAAAACCAATTCATGGTTTGCAGCCTTGCTTTTTACGTTTTGCTTCTGCAACTTCAATCATTTTCCAAAAATACTCATTAATTTTTAAAAAATTATATAATAATAATATATTATAACATTTACCAGATAATTACCTCAACAAGAACTTCTGCTTCCTTCTCCTTGTGTGTCACATTCCCCACAACAACTTCATGTTCACATTGTTCTTCAGGCTGCGCATCTTCATTTACTACTTTTTCTATTTCGGCACATAGTTCTGATATTGTTGGAAATGGGTTTTCTTTTTCTTGTGTCAGCCCAATTGAAAATGTTGGAATCTCTTCTATTCCTTTCTCGTACAAGGACTTCTTTTCATTTGCATTTTCAACCCTCTGAACTGCACTTATTGTCTCTGCCCAGAACTCACCATCTTCTATCTCTTGGGTACTTCTACCATCTGTTTCTTGTGTAGCATTCACCACTCTTTTCTTCTTCCCAACTCCAATTAAGTGTTGCGCAGCTTCTTGCATCTTCGTGAACTTCTCTATTTCAATTAAGTTTGTTGGTGCTTGTTCACACATGTTCAGAACATCAATCACAGTTGCAGCCAAGAGATTTGTTTTCTGAGCGAATCTCTTCACAAATTCCTGAAATTTTTGATGCAATGTATAGTTAATTTAGTTGCTCATATTCTAAAAAACAGGTGCACAATTTATACAAATTGAATCACACTATTATTACACGTTACCTCAGGATTATCACCATCAGTATATTGCACCTCAACTCTGTCTGCACTTCCTCCTTCCCCATGTGGTTTGTCCTTCTGCATACATTGTTCCGAAATGAATGGTCCTTCGCAGCGACGCATCCCAAAACCCCCACTTTCTATTTCCATCAGTTCTCTCTCCCGAAGAAGTTTCCCATTCCACAGTTTCATGATAGGTAAACTTCTATCCACCTTTCTTCTGTACACCACCACTCTGTCAACATAGAACAACTGCAACACCAATAATTGTTATTACACTTAAGATGCTATTAAAATAATATAACAATAATTAAAATAAGCACATTACGTTTGAACTTACCATTAAAAACAACAAAGGGCCCGTAAAAGCTTTGTTTTTCTTCTTCTCCCATGACACTTTACTATCAATTAAACAATTCAGCACATGGTCACACCAATCAAAATCTTTTATCTTGTCAACATCTTCCAAATGATTCATAATCATTGGATTAACATACCCATTCTGAGTGCTCTCAAGCAGTAGTGATACCATAAGAACAATGAAGTTCCTCTTGAACTAATCACCTCCATCTTTCATGTTAAGCATTGCTGCACTAACATCTGTCGGGCTAATTTTTGACTCCTCTTTTGGAAACATTGCTTTCCATGCAAGAAGTAGTGCACTCTCTTCATTTCTCTTCGTTGCCACAATTTTCTGTCCCCCTAACGGGAAACCTAATACTCGAGCAACATCTTCCTCCATTATTTGCATCTCTTTTCCATCATGTAGCACTAATGAACATTTTTTAGCATTGAAGTTATCAACCACCCAAAACCCCATCCTCCCTGGTATTTTAGAAACTTGCATTTCAAACAATGA